ATAAATGATAATGATGATGATGATGTGGTTGATAAAGATAGATTTACTTACAAACGGCAATAATTGCTATGTTATACAAATCTAATTTGATATAAGGTCGGTAATGAATGGAAGACGTAGCAAATCGTTCGAAAAATAGACGCTGTTGTTTTAGCTGTCGAAATGAGAAGGCATAGGAAGTTGGTGGTAATGGTACATTATCTAGATAATTGGCCACCCTACGATTGTCTGCGGCAGTAGTTGCTATCACAGCATCCAGATTGGGATCTGTAGTAGAATTTCCTGGACGATTAGCAACATTTTTTGTTACTGCTTCATCCCAAGGTAGAGGAATAAAACACCAATACATAGGATTACAATCAAGAAATGAACGAAGTGCTTCTGGACAACGAGCTGCATGTTGATAGAGACGCATTTGATTAACCATTTCTTTTCTACAACAATGAAAAAGAAAACAATGAATATGTGTAGCATAATCGAAAGAATGATCGAATGTCTTTTATTACTCTCTCTCGTCAGGATCGATTTGTGATCCTCGAAATAGAGGACTACCAGTTAATTTTTCATGTATAATTCGATTGCCATGTTCTCGATGATCTGTATATCATTAGGAAAAAGAAGAAGAAAAATAAAGGCATGTTCATGATTAACGTAAGAAAATTTATATTTACAAGTCATAGCATCAGCCAATGTTTTTGCTGTTGAATCAACATAATCATAATGACCACATGGACATGTCATGGCATAAATCATATTCGATGTAGTTACATGTCTAAATTTTAGTCATAGCTGATTGATATAAAATTCAATATTTAAGGACAACAACATACTGCTGGACAATTTAGATAGGTAGTATAACCATTGAGAAATCGATGCATTGAGCTTGAAGCAAAATTAACAATTGGCCATGGTTGACTTTTCTTGTAAGTATTTAATGGAAGACAACATTGACAAAAAAGATTATCACATGGAACCAATGAATATCTTGCTTGAGGTTCATCTCTTCCACAAAATAGACCTTCTATATTAGATAGAGGTTGAGCTCCTCGAAACGAATAAGTTTTCACATAGAATAAATCCACTAAAAAATATGAAACATATATGCATCATATATATCGACATGAAGACTAACCATCGATTTGTAAATAGAATTCCAATGCCATAGCCATTTGTTTTGAATTGAGTGTTGGTTCTTTTAGAGCAATATCACTCTTACATAGAACATATCGTCGAAATGATTCATGGAATGCAA